ATGGGACTAATCCCTAATCAAGAATTTGTGAATTATTAATGGATTTCAGTGCAATCAAAATTAATTTGCCACAAGGATCATAGGTGGGCACAGTTTCATATGACACAAGGGTTAAATCAAAACTGTTTAGTAATGTTTACAAAGCAAAACATTTCCTGGAAGCTTTACAGAAAATATCCAAGCAGGTGCTGTTAAGCTGCAGAAAACAAACACACTAAATGCAAATTTTCCATTAACTTTGTCTCAGTCCATTAAGGATGTGGGTGTAATTCGCTAAAATTCAGAGAGCACTTTGCAGACAAAGAATAGGCCAGTACAGGTCATTCACATAAAAGCTAAATTTGAGTTACAACCGCAACTTCACAGAGTTTCACCCTCCTGTTTGTTTGTTTTAGTCTTGTTCTTTTATTTTCCCCTTGTGATTTGGGTCCCAGTGTCTTCTGGGAACACATTTTTCCTCAAGGGTAGGATTTAAAGGAACAGAGAAGACTTTCTGCTTCGACTCTCAAATGAGTGTCTGATGCAAATATCCAGAAGGACAGGAAGAGAGAGAGAGAGAGAGAGAGAGAGAGAGAGAGAGAGAGAGAGAGAGAGAGAGAGAGAGAGAGAGAGAGCAGACATGTAAACATTGGGGCAAAAGTCTTGGTGAAAGGAGCTATATACAACACGCACACACTAACGCATGCATCTTCTCATCTGGGCAGAAATTGGAGGAGAAAAAAAAAAACATCGCTTATCTCCAGGCTTGCACATGGCTGAGAGGTAGCGCTGTTGTCAGTGTGCGGGGGTTGGCCCATGGGGCTAACATCTGCTGCTATTGTGGACTTGGCCCTGTCACCATACTTATTCTCTGTCTACTAAATCAGCCACATTCAACCAGAGCCTCAGCCCACAAACTATCTAAACATCAAGAGTCGTAGTTTAGCAACTGAATGTTGGACAGAATGGCCGGACGAAATTTGGCCGAAAGATCTGTTCCAAAATTTAGCAAGTGCCTCACCACCTACATAGACCACATCCTAACCATCACAAAACATCGGAAGAGAGTTATTTCGAATGCTTTGCATAGAAAAATCCACTTTTTATGTGAGTGTTAGCATGTCGCTAAGCTAATATTTTAGGAAGCATAAAAACACATAGCACACTAAGTTGGGGGGAAATTGTCTATAAAACTTGAAATTGCTCTTGAAGCTACCAATTTTAAAACATTGACTAGATAAGACTACTAGAGACGCACCAATCAACTGGCCATAAATCGTAACAGGACTTTTCAATTTCGTCAAGACAGATTTCAATGAATCTAAAGTGACTCACTCAAATGAATCAGCGTTCCCAACTATACGATAGGGGCACACATGCAAATGTCTATAACAGTGTTAATTTTTATCAGCAAATTTTGATTTAGTTTTAGTCTTAGTCTTTTGACTAAAATGGCATTTAGTTTTAGTCATATTTTAGTCATCTGAATTGTTTTAGTTTTAGTATAGTTTTAGTCGACGAAATACAATAACATTTTAGTCGACTAAATCTACAGTAGATTTAGTTGACTAAAATATAATGGGTTTAGTTCAATTGTAATGCGTTAATTTAGAATTTCTCTAAAATTTCCAAACCCATTTACTCCCGGAGAAAACATCTATTAACCTATTAATATGAATGATTTTTAAGTTTGAACATGCAATACAGATACAGATTTAACTGCTGTTACTTAAAAAATATCTTAAAATTAAATAAAACCACTTTTCCTAAAGTACAACACAGTCTTCTTTACAATGAATGATATATGCATTCCTTATAACTACTTGCATACATCATTCTTTATTCTTTCAAGCAGACATATTTATTTGTATGAATTCAATATAATTAATCCTTATTAAAGCTATTAACAAACAGTGAATGCTTTTCTCTTTTTCTTTTGTTGCTTGATCAAAATTAAGGACACGGACCGCATTAGGTTTATTGCCACTGTCACTTTAAGACGTCGGATCATGTCCAATGACATGCGCATACAATTGCACTGATGCACATCCGATACACTCACAGTTTAAGACATAACCAGCATAGTTTACATGAATACTCTCTAAAACGGACATTTAGACAGACTGTTGTGTGTATTTGTCCATTCAGACACGAAAGACAGCTCAATTCAGTAGCCTACTCGCGCGCTGTAGGTGTATTGTGCAAGACTGCACGCTTCGGGTTAGGTGTGTGCGCACAGAAAACCGCACCGAATAGAACTCTTTTTTGCATCGTCACTCTTATTCAGATCTATATGTCTGCTCTACTCATTCTCCCAGACGTTCACATTTTTTAACGTTTTATGACCGCGGGGTAGATCACGTTACAGTAGCCTACAAATGTGCGCATCTATCACACACGCTCAGGACATCAGTTCTGACGGATCGCTTCCCAAATCGTCACTATCTAACATTTTCGTCTAGTTTTTATTCGTTGACGAAAATGTCATTAGATTTTCGTCATAGTCTTTGTCATTCAAAACTAGGTTTTATTTAGTTATCGTCTCGTTTTCGTCTGTGAAAAAATGTCGTTGACGAATAATTTTCGTCGTTATTTTCGTCAACGAAATTAACACTGGTCTATAACAAAGTAGACTTTTAGAGGATATTATGTAATGGATTTTTTTTCCCTCACTGCTCACCACAAAGCATTATGGGATTGCCTTCTCCACAAAGTGCGGGGATGCCTTTGAACTAGCTAAAAGTAGGTATTTTTGAAGGCAGCTTAATCATACCTTTTGGAACAGCTTTTATGTCGCGAACATGCCAATAATGCCTTAAAATCTTGCTTACTTAGGCCGCACGCTAGGTTTTGGAACAGAGACTCAATTTCGTCTGAAATTACTAATAAAATTGGTCATAATGCAATCCTGTTGAAAAAAAAACCTCACTCCAACTCTTGAATTGACTGTACTTTCATTCCATACAGCCTTGTTTTTGTTCGTGACAGTTTCAGTATTTCTTCTACAATGACTTAAGCTATTGCTTTATGTATTTCATGCTGATTTTGAGTTGTCGGTCTATCATTTTTAAGTGTCATCTGCAGGAAAAAGGATCTGATATAGGCACACTTTTGATTTTGTATTTTGACTGCTATAGTGTAGGCCTACTTGTCGCAGTAGCTCCAAAGTTATCTGTTTTCACTGTTACCCGAGTGCTTGATGTATCAATAGCAAAAAAAGCTTTTGTTAAAATGACGTCTGTTAAACTGGCTGTCTGCAAACCCATCAAGCATGTTCAAGGTTCCTCAGCGTAACATCTCGAGTCGGATGTTTTGTTCCATTTGTAAAGCAGAGCCGCTTTGTATGAAAGAAACCGATGCTCAGCCGGGACCTCAAACACCGTCCTTTGAATTGAAATATGTGCTGTAAAAAAAGCCGTGACATCACTGCTAATTGTGTAGATATCAACGATCTGCGCCGTGATGATTTATGGAGAACTCAAACTAACGCTTCAAGAGAATTTTGGCTTTTGGGTTCCGATTAATTTCCCCCCACTCAATCTATTAATGGATTACATAGGGCAAAAACACAATGAAAAGCAATATTGTCTCTCATTTGTATTCTCTCCCTGTGTTTTAACCTTCCACTTCATCCTCCGTAGGCCCATTAACTTCCATGAAAATCATGTTTCTCTGGCTTTGCCTGGTCTCGGGCTATGGGTTATTGTTTTTCTGTGGGATGTAAATATGCATTGTTATAACCCTTCTCTGTTGTTTTCTTTTGTTTTCATCTGTACGCAGATTGAAAACAGTTTTGTGAAGACCTGCTCCAAATGCAAAAATGTGGCTCTTCTTTGAGTATATTATTGTCAGAAAAAAATGTTTTGTAAAAATTTTGATGAGATCAGAAATAAAGTAATTTAACGATCTAATGTACAGGACTGTCGATTTGAATTTTTGTCATTTTGAATGTCATTTGTATGCATGTTTGTTTCTGGAAAAACTATCAAAATGAACATTCACTTATTGATTATTAATTTATTTTGTCCTGTGTGATTTCTAAAAACTGATCAACTTCAGAGCTTATTGCAACTGGTCGGAATTATAGTGATTATAGTGAAATATAAAAATGAGCTATGGTACTTTGAAAAATGTTAATATTTAATTACTTTATATTAAAGCTGCAGTCCATAACCCTTTTGGGTTCAAAATTATCCAAAAATAAATTGAGCAAGTACATTTAGCCAGTGTTCAAAACTCTCTGCTTGCCTTAGCTCGATTCAAAACGGTACGCTTGTAATAATGTTTTTAACTCCAGTGGTACTGGTGGATTTCTGCGGGAGATTTGAGCATGTCTTTGCGTCATTACGTCACATCTGTACACATAAAGAAGGAGTCTCGGCTTGTATAAGCTATATTGCGTGTGAGGATGTTGGATGTGGAGATTTATAGCCTTTTCTCACAGCACTTGATATAATTAAACTTATCAATTTGATGGCGGATCCAGAAAGGTTCAAACGATTCAGATTCACCCGTTGTAAAATGCAAAAGACTTCGTTCGGACTTTGGAGTGGCTACAGAAAAAAAAGAGACTGCAACCGGACCCATGCGAAAACAAGGATAATATCAGAAGGGCATTAAATGTAGTCACGCAATGCTGATGTTGTTAACATTAACAATTTGAGAACAAAGTACACTCACCGGCCACTTTATTAGGTACCCCATGCTAGTAACGGGTTGGACCCCCTTTTGCCTTCAGAACTGCCTCAATTCTTCGTGGCATAGATTCAACAAGGTGCTGGAAGCATTCCTCAGGGAGTTTGGTCCATATTGACATGATGGCATCACACAGTTGCCGCAGATTTGTCGGCTGCACATCCATGATGCGAATCTCCCGTTCCACCACATCCCAAAGATGCTCTATTGGGTTGAGATCTGGTGACTGTGGGGGCCATTTTAGTACAGTGAACTCATTGTCATGTTCAAGAAACCAATTTGAAATGATTAGAGCTTTGTGACATGGTGGAAGTAGCCATCAGAGGATGGGTACATGGTGGCCATAAAGGGATGGACATGGTCAGAAACAATGCTCAGGTAGGCCGTGGCATTTAAACGATGCCCAATTGGCACTAAAGGGCCTAAAGTGTGCCAGGAAAACATCCCCCACACCATTACACCACCACCACCAGCCTGCACAGTGGTAACAAGGCATGATGGTTCCATGTTCTCATTCTGTTTACGCCAAATTCTGACTCTAACATCTGAATGTCTCAACAGAAATCGAGACTCATCAGACCAGGCAACATTTTTCCAGTCTTCAACTGTTCAATTTTGGTGAGCTCTTGCAAATTGTAGCCTCTTTTTTCCTATTTGTAGTGGAGATGAGTGGTACCCGGTGGAGTCTTCTGCTGTTGTAGCCCATCCGCCTCAAGGTTGTGCGTGTTGTGGCTTCACAAATGCTTTGCTGCATACCTCGGTTGTAACGAGTGGTTATTTCAGTCACTGTTGCCCTTCTATCAGCTCGAACCAGTCTGGCCATTCTCCTCTGACCTCTGGCATCAACAAGGCATTTCCGCCCACAGAACTGCCGCTCACTGGATGTTTTTTCTTTTTCGGACCATTCTCTGTAAACCCTAGAGATGGTTGTGCGTGAAAATCCCAGTAGATTAGCAGTTTCTGAAATACTCAGACCAGCCCTTCTGGCACCAACAATCATGCCACGTTCAAAGTCACTCAAATCAACTTTCTTCCCCATACTGATGCTCGGTTTGAACTGCAGGAGATTGTCTTGACCATGTCTACATGCCTAAATGCACTGAGTTGCCGCCATGTGATTGGCTGCTTAGAAATTAAGTGTTAACGAGCAGTTGGACAGGTGTACCTAATAAAGTGGCCGGTGAGTGTATATTTTGCACGGTTTGATGTGATATGATAAGCGATCGTTAGATTTAATCAGCATGATTTACTGCAATGCTTTTTTTCCCTTAGTTGGTCAGAACAAAAGTGGATGTTACTTACTTGTTCAGATTACATTTTCCGGTGAAAATTCTTATGTTGGTCATACTTCCAAAAAGTAGAATCTGTGATTCCGAATGACAGGATCCACATCGGCGGGGCGACTGACAGCACCTTCTCCTCAAAACATTGGATTCATCCGCGCTGTGCCGTGCCGAGGCACAACCCACGTAAAGTTGATAATTCCGCGAAAAACTGCAATTGCAGATTTCGAACAGAGATGGCGACAAAGAGGAAAAACTACGGACTGCAGCTTTAAATTTATATTAATTAATCACTTTCCTTATAATAATAATTAATGTTAATAGTAAATAATACAATTATATTAAAGGGGCTATATGTAAGAATGTTCATGTATTATTCACGGTTTTATTGCCAATGTGTGAACAGCTTGTAACGGAACTTAAAAAAACGAAGCCTTTCCCAACTTCCTAGGTTTTCTATGAAAGCATGTTGTTGACTGATTTTTTACATGAAGGACTGGGGACATTTTTGCTGGGAAAATCAAAGGGATCTGACATTTATGTGTGTTCCAGAGAGAGCCTCTCTTCCATACTATAGCCCTATTCGGAAGGGATTGGTTTTACAAGGGTAGATGGAGTAATGTAACTTTACCACAGGGCATCTGTAATATTAATGGCCAATTCGCATGAGTTAAGAAATCTCAGTAAAACTACTAGAAGTGGGAGGGGTAATTCAATTTACGCACTGCCGTCACCTCCCTTCCGTCATATATATATATATACATATACATACATACACATCATATCAATTAAATTAATTCAATTCTGATTGGATTATGTTGGTAGTAGGCACTTACCTAAAGCTAAAAGAAGTTGTGTGTCCCTCTAACAAGTGCTTTCGACCTTCTTTTTGATCTGAATGCTGTGCTGAAAACACTTGAGGTTTGCAACAGACTTGTCCCACCGCCTAGAACGCAACGGAATACTTTTTCAAGCGCCTCCATTCTTGAAGAAAAAAAAACAGTTTTAAACAGGAATATATTAACATACATATTTACAGATGTTTTTATGGTTGTTGTTTTTTTTGCATGAGATTAGGTTTACCTGAGGTAATTTAACCTGACTTTTTTTTACAGAACAATTCACTGTAATCTACTGATATTGTCCGTAATGATTACTGAGATGGCACATTCGGACGGGACTAAAAATCCCTGAGAAGCTCTGGTAATAATTACTTTACATGTAAAACTAAAACTTTCTCTTCATGTAAAACTAATCCCATCCGAATAGGGCTTATGACACATGAAATGGATGCTTATACAATGTTCAGGATAATGCCAAAAGAGCTATACTATCCTATGATGTCAATGTGCCATGCAAACTATAATCAAACTATTATAAAAGTGTAATTTTAATGACCTCATCTGTCGATGATGCAGCTGAATTGCAGAGCTTGTGCAAACATATCCACATCACTATGACCAGATGCTTTCTTAACTGCTTTTTGTTGTGTGTTTATTTTGTTACTGAGAGGAAAGCGTGCAGAAAATATTATTTCCATATCTAACCATTGCTCTCAGCAGTGTGGATGGGGTTTGGATCCTTGTTACCGGTATATCTCTACAAAGGTATTTCCAACTTCTTTTTACTTCCAAGAAAAAAAAAGAAAAAAAAAAAAAAAGAAAAAGAACTTCACCGTGAGTATATTGGGGCCTTGAATCACGTTCAGTCTCTTGTACTGTAAGTCACTTGTGCACAAGTGCAAGCACGAGCAGTAAAGTTGCTGGCTGCAGTTCACTTTACGGCCACCGGTGTCGCTAATAACAAGGGTTTTTGAATTCCTTTAATGCAGTGGTTCTCTTTTGGTCAAATAATTTCACTAAAAATTATTTTTTAAAGAGGTGCTTTTCTGTGCTGAGGAACTTTGTCAGATGGTGACAAGTCAATGCCCTGAAGAAGAACGATTCAGTGGAATTGGTGTCCGGTGCCACTTTATAAAGGAAAAACGCCAACCGCTATTCACGCACATGAACGTCACTGCAGCGGCAGCGTCACTGCAACGTGACGCAGCGTCACTGCAGCGTCACTGCAGCGCCCCCCCCCCCCCCCCCCCCCCCCCCCCCCCCATTGTAAGACCTGTGTGCCACCCATCTCGTTGATGCTCGAAAGAAATACACATTTCACAAAAAAAAAAAAAAAAAGATCTCTTATCATAAAGGTTTTATCTGAGTCCTAAGATTTTGAAACTGCAATTTCCAGCACCACAAAGTATCCTCTAATTTTACATGGTGGGCCAGTCAAGTGCAAAAGTGGTCCAGTATCAGAGGTGAAGACACTGTTCTCTTGATCACTCCTTCAGATTATGTCCCGTTCAAAGAAGAAAGGTGTCATTCTAGATGTCATCATCTGTCTTGTACTGAAAATGGTGGGATGAGACATTTAAAGTCCATCTTGTGGGGCCAAGAAAATCCAGTGGAAAACCTCTTCAGCTGAAAGGTTAGGCACCCCACTGGGGCATTTAAACATGAACTGGGCCCGAGAGAAGCTTTAAGCTGCTTATGTAGTAGAGCATTTCTTATCCTTTCGCTCGATTAGCTCAATCAGCACTACAATAAATGATATCGTTTCTTGTTAACGTATGAGACCACTGACTTACGCTGCAGTTTGGTGGAAGATTCTTTAAATCTACTTTTGAAACTGCTTCTGAGCTACCCATTTAAAACATGTATTTAGCAACACTACATACTGTAATACTAACAAAAATGTCAATCTTTTTGAAGCAATCAATTTAAATGAATCATACACACAAAAAAATCCAGTTTTTGTATATAAAAAACATGGCAGCTGTGGTTACCAGAATAATTTTGTCAAAAAAATACAGTAAAAATAAAGTTCAGCACAAGTAGCTTTTCCTTGTGGGAAGGAGAAGAAGGTGCAGTCATTCACACAAACACAAAAAAACATGGTAGCACACAACACTTAAATAATGCAATAAACATTCATTAAACAAAAGAAGATGTACCAAACAGCCCACAAATGTGCATAGCTGATAAATTGTTCGGTTTACGTCTAAAAAAAAGTGCATTAAATTTTACTGTAAAAACCTATTAACAGGTTTTTGTTCATAGCATTTTTACAATATTTTACAGAACAGATTCACTCCAATACGATTTCTCAGTTCTATGAGAGTAATAAACATGCAAAAAAAAGCAGAAAACAGTGTACATTATTTAAAAAAAAGAATATGAAAGGGTTTAAACAATCTAAATAAACAGATTCACCCAAATGAATCAGATTTCCTAATTCTATGATAGTAGCACACAAACAAATTTATATAAACAAGTAGAAGCATTGTGATCACAAAAAAAAAAAAGATGGAAGGATTTAGATCTGTTAATCCTTTTGAACCAATTCATTTAAATGAACCATCTGAATGAAGAGATTCAATCAACTGAATCAGATTTCACAGCTCTGTGAGAGGGGCACATAAACAAACGAATAACCAAGTAGAAAACTTAGTGATCACTACTAAAAAAAAAGAAGAAGATGGGACGGATTAAAGAATCAAAAAATCTTTTTTTAACCAGTTCATGTAAATTATCTATCTGAATGAACAGATTAAATCAAAGGATGTTCAAACTCATAAATTTGCACATGCACATGAAAATAGACTGTTAGGCATAGTGAACGGGGTATCTTTCTGAATCATAAGATGAAAAACCAGGAGCCGAAAGTGTGACTTCAAGTCCACATCAAGTGCATCATTTTCCAAATGACCTATTCTATGAGAGCACATTTTGATTACCATTCCATTTTGCATGTCGGAAAATAATTAAAGTGGGACCAAAAAAAAAGAATCACATTGCTGCTTAATAGACAAAATAGCTATTTACTGGAAAAGCTACACTTTTTTACAAACAGCTGGTATACTCTCATGCTCCTATAAACAGTGTTCCTTTTTGTTAGCTACTTCCAAGAGCTACATTTGTTTGGATTTGTTTGCATTTTAATGTAGCCTAACTCGAATCCTTTAAGAGTTATCGATAATAAATTTGGCCTGAAATCAGGTTCCTCTAAAGTTGATAGAATGCAATACCTGAAACACTGTAGAAATACTAAACTCACTCTCCTGTACTCTGCTACAGATGTTTGCCAATGGCGTATG